TTTTTTTTCCTTGTTGGTCTCACCTCACTTCTCTGTTCATTGCTTGCAGCCACTGTGCGAAGGTCGTTTGGAAGTCGAGGTAGACGCGGGCTCCGTGTTTTGAGTAGCTGTAGTAGTGAGTACAGTGTTACTAGAACCCCTGTAAAACCCTAGTTTGGTTCTACCTCTTCTCTACATAGTCTGCATTAGCCCTATTCACACGATCATACAGACTCACACCAGATATAAAATAGGTTCTTATGAAGAACTGCTGTGATTAATACCATAAAGTAGGCTTTTAACTCTTTGTTAGACACTTAATGACTAATATCTGGTTTAAAAGACCCTTAAAAATGTCCACTGAGCATAAAACTCGAGTGTTAAAATGGGTATGAAATGCTCCAACGATGAGTCAGTATGTAAAAGAAAGTAGTGCCTGAGTGAGGGAGGGAGGTAGTGTCCCAGACAGAGAGGTTGCTTCGTACCAAAAAGGAATTGAAAGGAGCTTAAATTAGTGAGAAAGGGGCAAGGAAGTTTCCTAGGAGTTGAAGTGGAACAAGAATGTGTGTGTGTGTGTGTGTGTGTGTGTGTGGACTAAGCCTTACATTATTCGCTAAATCACGGTAGCAACTAAAGCAGCTTTATAGGGATGGAGAACTATTGGTCTCTTAAGTTAAACACACAGTGGAGAAAAAAAAAGCATACAGTATGTTTGGACTTGCCAAGCTTGTTAACTGTCATTATTTCCTGATATGTTTGCCTTTAATTTGCTCATTATGCTTGACTTGACAATAATGAGTGTTCGAGAAACCACTTATAGGAACACAAACCTGTTTGAGCCTACCTCTAATTATTTTAAGCATGATGAATTAAGTGTCAGATTGCCAGCAAAGTAAAACAAGACTAACACAAGCCCTTTTAGTTTAACTAATGGAGTTTATTTAACATGCTCAGTGGATGTTTTTAATCAGGTGCAATTATTTTCTCAGCTTTGAAGCAGAGTCAGCATCTCTTTCTTGAACACTGAAAAAATAATGTAGTGTCCCCAAAGCCCTTAAAAAAAAAAAAAGTACAAAAAAATAATGGGAGCTGACTTGATTTTTTTTTTCTGCCTTGGAGAACATGTATTAAGTTAATATTTTACATTTCCATATTGAACAAAGTGTAGTTGTACTAATTGGAGTCCTGTTAATCTGCCTTGGATATCTGCTCATAGAAGTAAATATTTCATAAACTGCAGACTTAACCATTTTTATAGTATACACTCACTGGCCACTCTATTAAGTACACCTTGCTAGTACTGAATTGGACCCATTTTTGCCTTCAGTACTGCCTAATTCTGCATGGCATTCAACAAGGTGCTGGAAACCTTTCTCAAATTTTTGGATCATGTTGACATGATGGTACTATACAGGCTTCACACGCACAACGATCTCCTGTTCAGCCACAGACCAAAGGTTGGATTGGGATCTGGTGAGTACAGTGAACTCATCATCATGCTTTGTGATGTGGTGCAATATGATCAAGGGATGGACCTGGTTAGCAGGTTAGCAAAAATACTATTTGGTTTTTTTACGATGCTCGTTTGGAGCAAAGGGGCCCAAAGTGTGCCAAGCCATTATACCTGTTTTGATATTTGCGCTAAATTATGACCCTACCATGTGGATGTTGCAGATGAAATTGAGACCCATCAGGTCACCCCCACCCCAAGTCTTTTGAGCGTATATAAGTTGTCTTAGCTGACAGGAGTGGCACGCAGTAGCTATAGTGCTGCTTAGGTTTTAATATAAGATCCAGATATGCTCTTCTGCATACCTTGGTTGTAACAAATTGCATTATTTGAGTTACCGTTGTAACATTATGTTCTCTGTAAACGCTGATAACTTTGTGGGACAATCCCAGTGGATCAGCAGTTTCTGAAATGCTCAGACCAGCCTATCTGGCACCAAAAACTGTTACACGAACACTTAAATCACCTTTCTTCCAAATTCTGATGCTCAGTTTGGACTTCAGCAGATCGTTTTGACCATGTCTTCATACACTAAATGCACTGGATTGCTGCTATTTGCATTAACAAACAGTTAAATAGGTGTACCTCATAAAGTTGCCAGTGAGTTTAAACATCCAGATTGTATCCTGATAATCTGAAACCTTTTAAAGGGGGGGAGAATGGTAGGTTTCTGCATTATACCGTCTAAAGGTCTGGACAGGATGGAAAAAGAAAAGGTCAGTTTTTCTTTGCAATGACTCGTCAGTTTTTGCCTTTGGCTCTGCTCCCTCTGCAGATCCACAAATCAACACACAAACACGCTTTGCTTCAGGCATCTGCTTTGTGGGCCTTGTTTGCTCACACCTTCTGTGCTGACCAGAACCTGAGTCAGTGTGCCTGCATGACACGAATGTGCAGTCTTTGCAGGATATAAAGACCTTCAGCACATTCGTTTAAGTATGAAGGCTTTTCTTTACTTTTTTTTTTTTTTGCCAGACTTGTCATCCACTGACTCTGCTTGTCTTTAATAAGACCATGCCATCTTCATTTCCATCATTAGCCTCAGATTTTCATCGTAACATCATAGCAAAATGTTCAACTTCACCTATGTTAAATAAATTCAGGTAGAAAAAACTGTGGTAAACAAAGCTCTGTAGTTTGTGGTCAGATCTGACCTTGTAGAGGTGCACCATCAGAGTTCACTGATACATCTGAAAACCCAGCATGGCTACACATCACATCAGTGTGTTTGCTGTTCTGCTGCTGCTTTTCCCCCAGCTGCCCCTCCTTACTTTTTTTGCTGAAGTGGTGCTTTCAAATCATTTTCCTGTGTTTTGCTTACCTGAGGAGTGTTTGATTTAATTTTTTAGGTCCTCGGAAACGGAGCGGAAATACTGGCTTGCAAACAGAGATAAATCCAGCACTCCTCGCTTCCCCTGTCCCTCAAAAACGTGAAGCAATATATTAATTTTTGCGTGCTCTGACGTCAGTTTGCTGGCTTTAAGTGTGGTGACGATGTTTTGTGTAACAGACCCTGCTTGTGTCTGTGATGTGATCTCGTGTAACCGTGTTGCTGCCTTGTTCTGATGCTGCCGCATCAGTAACAAGCACGATGTTGTGAGACTCTTGAAAGCAATGTCGCTTTAAGAGATGTGCTATGTGAAAAGTGTTCCTGCATTGAACTGGACATGTCAGTTGCTTGAAATTTTTATTGAAAGCTTATTTTCTTTGTCTTACAGTGCACTTTAGTTATAATTGTTTGTGTTTTTTATTTTTGTTTAAATCATGTGGTTTGTTTCCATCTTTATTTTGCCAATCACCCATTTAAGGGAAATTGAATTATTTAATTTGTCCAGATCATTGTGAGCACTTAAAATACTCTTCCTTCATGTAGTAAGTGTTGAATGAAATGCATTTCTTATTAAGACTGTGTATAAGCTCCAAGGATGCTGACTATCCTGTCAAACGTCACTCCTTAACCTGTTCCAGTACCCTTGATGGTCTTTCTTTGTGGACTTTTTTCCCCTGACAGCTGCTGGGTGTATTGCCCCAATACAGCCATGCCTCAATTGTGCTGCTGTCACTGTGGAAATAAAGCACAAAGAGAGACATGCTGAGGCTCTATTTGTAACGTCAGATTTGCTTTAGGCTCAGTTATGTGAATTTGCTTTTCAAACCGAATCTATTTGTCTTTAAACTGTGCTAGAACATCTTGAAAGCTGTTAATTGACTGTAATTAGAAATCAGAGGACATTGTAATAATACAATGTATATATTGTAATATTTGACATAATAAAATAGGGCCTCAGGCAAGACTGGAAAATGGGTGTCCCGGGGCTGTGACTCTATATTCCTGACACTCATTTCAGTGCTCTGCCCTCGTTGCTCTCCTCCAGGTTCCATCTCCTCTCCGGGATGGCGTAGAGGATCTGTGACTCCCCGGGTCACCGCCATCCCGTGCCCAGGCTGCCAGCATGACATAGATCTGGGCGAACGCGGCATCAGCATGTTGTTCCGAAACTTCACCCTGGAGAGCATCGTGGAGCGCTACCGGCAGGCTGCCCGCGCAGCCGTCGCCATCATGTGCAACATCTGCAAGCCTCCACAGCAGGAGGCAACAAAGAGCTGCATGGACTGCAAGGCGAGCTACTGTAACGAGTGTTTCAAGCTGCACCACCCCTGGGGCACACCCAAAGCCCAGCACGAGTATGTTGGTCCCACTACGAATTTTAGGCCCAAGGTGAGTGTGGCTCAGTAGCTGTCAGTTTGTTCTCACAAAGTAATAAACGATAAACAAAACAACTTTGAACTATGAACAGTTAACAAGATATGTTATCACAGAGTTAAACATTAGTTGATAGATTTCTGCTTACTTGATTGAATGGCGGTATGAGAGTTGCATGTCATGCATGGTGAATTTTACCAGCTGTGTTGATTTTCTAATCATTGCTATACAGAAAGTTTGGCTTAAAACTTAACTTTGCTGATCAAACTATATTGAATCACTTTCTGAAGCTCAGAAAGGTCAGTGACGCATGGTGTAACTCAGAAACAGAATCAAATATAGTTTACTCTCAGCAGAACTATGAAATTGGTTCCTGTGTCATATACTAGTCAAAAACAGAAGTGCAAGTTTTATCTTTTTTACATGTGAAAACCCAAACAAATTCTGTGATTAGTCTTCAATTCTTGTTGTTTGTGTTCAGTAAACAAATTACCAATCCCCAGAATAAAACCAAACTCGCGTGATTAAGTGAAGTTGGCCGAGGCCAGGTTATTGCCATGCTGGATGCTGGCATCTGTCCGAGCTGTTGCTGCAGACTTCCATGTCCACGAGAGCACCATCTCTGATCTGCTTGTTCTCAGTGGAAATCTGACTAGACAGAGGACCTAAGATGTGCTTTTACCTGTACTTATGTCCTGAGAATGGTGTTTTGTTTTTGTTTTGTTTTTTTTGTTTTTTTTAGTGGGACCGTGCCAGAGTAGCACAGACCTTTCTGGCTCAGGACATATCTAGAGACTTCCCTGGCTAGCATTTAGACCCCATATGTCTCCTGTTAAATGTGACCTGGACATTCTGGGTTAATATATTCATCAGAGCAAACCACAACCTTGATCGCTGCAATCATCCAGGAATGGGGAACAGTTCCTCAGCAACAGAGCTGGACTCCTGTTTGGGTCAAGCCAGAGCTTGTTTCAAATGTCTATACATTCCTATTGTGTAGTGTTTGTCTAGAATGTCCATTGGAAACACAAACTTGCATTTCTCTTTTTGGTTTTTGTGTATTTGTTGCATTCCTTGTTCATTGAGGAGTGATGTATCTGCTGTTTTAGCCTCTGATGAGGATCTTGGCATTTGGAGCGCTGATTTGAGTTCTATTTTAAGACCCATCAGGAAATGGTTCATCGAGCTCTCTACCACTTTTTTTTTTTTTTTTCCCCCTTTTTTTAAAAAATGGCTTTAGCTCATCTTCCTGTTTCACTTCATTTGTCAACATTTTATCAACACTGTGTAGCTCTATGCAGTCTAAAACAGTGCAGTTTAATGTGTACATGCGTTCTTTGGATTAATTTTAAGTCCTTGTTTTTCAGAGCTTATGTAACTGGGAGGTAAGTGGTACTTGTGACAAAGTGAGTCCTCGGGGGCGATAATTTGTTTTCTCCTTAATCTCGCAGGTTCTCATGTGCCCAGAGCACGAGATGGAGAAGGTGAACATGTACTGTGAGGTCTGCAGGCGTCCCGTGTGTCACTTGTGCAAGCTTGGAGGATCCCATGCTAACCACAAAGTCACCTCCATGAGCAGTGCTTACAAGATCCTCAAGGTAACACATTTAGACTTTTTTTTTTTTTTTCCCCCCACACAGTCAGTACACTTGAAATTTTATTATTTAAAAAAGTAAAAGCCTTTTGTCCACGCTTCCCGTCATCGCTAAAGTATGCAACAAAAGAAGTTCAGAGGCAGCTTTTTTTCTGTAGTGGGCCACACACCGACTTGTTCCTGGATTTCATCTCCTCAGCTGTTGTAATATTAATGCTTGACCTGTTCCAGTGCTAGCATGCACACTGTAGATGTCAGTCACTGTTTGGAAACTTAAACCCAGGCTGGCTAATTGAGTTCAAACTCCTCTTGAGAGCTTTCCCTTTCAGCATGATTACCTTTAATTTATTTTAGTGTTTTGTTTAGTTCACGTGGAGATGAAAATGTCACGAGATTGTGTTGGCAGCTGCTGTCACAGCAACCACACACTCCTAAAGCACAATGAGGCTTTCAGCAGAATAGGTTTTAATTAAAATGCATTTAATAGTAATTGTTTTGTTGGCCTGAACGTCATCCTGCTTAAAGGGATTTATTTAACGGGGCTTAGCAAGTCGAGGCAGATTTTGTGAAATTCTATATGCTGGTTTCTGTCGATACAAACATATTGGTGTTTAATATTTAATGAGACCATTTGTTCCATGTGATTTTGTGTGCTCTGCCTTTGAGTTCTTGGGAGGAGTATCAGATGTCCTGATCAGTCCCAGAAACCTGTGTCAGTTATAATTTCTTTGAACAGAAGTGCAGCGTCACTGTGTCCGGAGATGTCCATCAGTAATAAACTAATTTAGTTTACCCCTGTTGTTGAACGTCTCAAACTACAAAACCTTTTCTTTTTAAAGTGGTGCCTGTTACTGTTTTCTTTCCCAGAAAATATGTATTTTAAGGTTGTGTTATTAGTCTCATGCCTTGTGTATGTGCCAGCAAGTATAAGGCTCTGTGAAGCTCACTGTAAATACTGAAATGCTGCTGGCTCCTTTTTTTTTTTTTTTTTTTTCTTTTTCCTTCCTTCCTCCTTCCTCCCTCCCCAGGAGAAGCTGGCCAAGAGTATCCACTACCTCATCAGCAAAGAGGACCAGGTCAGGACTCAGATTACTGAGCTTGAGGTGCTCATCAATAAGACTGAGGTGAGAGAGCTGACTCATGCTGCTGTATCTCTCACATCCTTTGATGTTACTGTATGCTCTGCAGACTTTTTTTCCTTAATCATCAGTTGTAGTCAGAGACAAAAGACCTGATTTGATTTAGTTTAACTTGGACTCGAAAGACCTGGAATTGGGTTATGGTTATTGCATCACAAAATGTCCATATCAACAATTCCAACTTTATCGTCTTCTGCAAAATCCCTGGACAGTGTTAAATCTATAAGGAGCAGAAGGTGGCTACATGGTGTAGTGGTTAACACACTCACTTACTTACATGTTAAAGATGCTGGGTTTGATTCTGGGAGGAGAGGAGAACAAATTTGGATCTTGGATAAATGGGGAAAGTTGCATCAGGAAGGCCATGTGGTGTAACATCTGTGCCAAGTCAAACATGTAGATCTGGCCACTGTGGTGACCCAATGAGGAAGCAGCTGAAAGAATATGTAACTAAGGATGGAATAAAAGGGCAGGTTATCACTATACTGCTTGTATCACATTTATGAAGGTATTATGAACTTTGTTCGCACTTTTAGCATTTCTCTAATCAGTTTGTGCCAATAAAGCTGCTCCTCCTAAAGAAGGAGCAGCAGCTTTCTGTCTAAACCTTTTGAATCTAGTCAAATTGATGATGTTATAACGCAAAACAAATGCATCTGTTAATTCCTGTTGATAGCTGCCGAGAACAAATTTTAATACGGCTCAGTCGAAAGCAGCCTGAGTCGAACAATTACACACAGTCTTTGTAAGAGTAAGCAGCATCATTGAACAAGCAGTATGCAAACCACACAAACAAGGAAACGCAGGATTTGGTTCCCTCACGCAAGTCTGGGTTTTTAGTGTCTCAGCTGGTTCCTCTTTTACTTTGATGTTGGTCATAGATGGAGAGCGCTCAACATACCCACGCTTTTAGTTTTGTAAAGGGCACTGGGTGTGTGAGCAATAGGTGATTGTTATGCTTTAGATGCTTTTCATTTTTCATTTTGCAATTGATGCTTCTGTCTCATTGAGTATAAATGGGAGTGACTTTTATGGTGTTCAAAACTAAACAGAGGCCTTAATTCATTCATGTTTGCTGCTTATGTGTCAAACAATGGCTTAGATGAGATGAGTTTAAAATGTTGAATGTCTGCAGCTGAATTACAATAAAATGAAATGCGTACTGTCAAAAGGTTCATTCAACAGTCTCGAGTGGAAAAAGTGAGGAATCGATGCCCACTGCTTTGTTTTAAATGATCATAGTGGCAATGACTTGCACTCTGGCTGGCTTAAAGAAATGTCTGCTTATTGCATCTAATGAATACTGTTAGTTTAAGATGATGAGAAACTTGTCTTTTCCTTAAAGGAAAATGGCCAGTTAGCAGAGCGTCAAGCCAACGAGCACTTTGAGCGTCTGTTTGAGACTCTGCAAGAGAGAAAATCTGAGATGCTGAGGTCAATCGAGCAGTCTCGTAACCGTCGCATGGAGCAGCTCAGAGGCCAGGTGAGCCTTTGATTTCTCTATCTCATGCGTCATATTTGCATGAAGTCCATAATAAGTACTTTGAACCTCCATGAGCAGTGCTTACAAGATCCTCAAGGTAACACATTTAGACTTTTTTTTTTTTTTTTTTTTTCCCCACGCAGTCAGTACACTTGAAATTTTATTATTTAAAAACTGGTAATGACTAGGTAAACTGTAGTGAAAGATAAAACAATGATTTGAGGTTTTGAGAATCCTTTAAGGGCAGATTATTGTGCAGAAGTTTGGTGCTAGCATAATTGGACTCAAGTAAAAGCCTTTTGTCCACGCTTCCCGTCATCGCTAAAGTATGCAACAAAAGAAGTTCAGAGGCAGCTTTTTTCTGTAGTGGGCCACACACCGACTTGTTCCTGGATTTCATCTCCTCTGCTGTTGTAATATTAATGCTTGACCTGTTCCAGTGCTAGCATGCACACTGTAGATGTCAGTCACTGTTTGGAAACTTAAACCCAGGCTGGCTAATTGAGTTCAAACTCCTCTTGAGAGCTTCCTGTTCCAGTACCCTTGATGGTCTTTCTTTGTGGACTTTTTTCCCCTGACAGCTGCTGGGTGTATTGCCCCAATACAGCCATGCCTCAATTGTG